ATTCGTAATAAATAGCTTTGCTGATTATGATGGGTTTGCTGATAATAAATAGCTCACCATGGCCGTTACGCAAAAACATGCTTGCCTACAAGATGACTAAAAGAGGGTTGACAGCCAGGCCAGAAGATGTTATCACTCTAAGGCAAATCCAGGTCCAAACAAAATAAATTTGATTGAACCAAACAAAATAAATTTGATTGAACAATGAAAAAAATGCATATGCACAAACTAAGTTGCTGGATGTCTCTACAAACCTGAAGTTGAGTTCATATGCAATTCTTCGTGAATTTCTGGTTCTGCAGGCACAGATTTATCTCCACTGTGGTCGACAGCCTCTTCCATTGCACTGAGACAGTTCAATATTGTTAGCGACAGAGCAGTATGTAGCAAATGCAGCAAATCTGCGTTAAACAGTGCACCCTTCTTTAATACAAAAGCCAACCTTGTGAGAGGCACAGGATTCCCATGTGGCACCTCATCTGCATTCCCCTGTGGTACCTCATCTGCACCACAAAAACCATTCAAGAATACATTAGACCAGGATACTCAATTATTCATGTAGTTCAACAATTACATTAATTCAAACATGGTTATAGCAAACTGAGCAGAATTTCATCAAAACTAAAAAAAAATGGCAAAGGGTCTACCAGGATGAACATCAGATGCAACATGGCATTCTTGGACAAGATTTCCACTTTCCTTCGGTGCAGCGTCCACAGAATCAACAGCACCCTAAAATAAGAGAAATGAACTGATAAATAAGAGGAATTATTTATAGTTGCAAAAGGCACTGTAGATAATGTTTTGCAGGGCCATGCTTATACAAACATATAAAGATTCAACACTTCGCCGGTGTATCTAAATTACTGCCATGGATACAGGAAAACTCACGACTCACATGGTTTCCATCTTTAGTTGGTGAAACAGGTAAGGAGCACTCATTGGCTGGTTCTGCTGCAGCAACTTTATCAGAACCTAAATTACATGAAACAAATTAGTCGTTGACAGCCAAAAGACATGTTCTTCATAATCGGAGTATGCAACATGAGTGATTCGGCGTCATAAAAAGCTCAGGTGGGTAAAGAAGAAATCTCACCTTCATAACCCTGTACATTCTGTCCAACTTCATCACGAGTACCCGGCGATAATATAGAGACACCATTATCAAACAATCTGGAAGTAGAACCATGGTGCCTCGACTTAGAAGCTTCTGCAGTTTCAGAAAATTTAATGTGATCTCTTCGCAAATCAAAGTTTTCCCAGAAGTTGGAACTGGAAAGGAAGTCTTCCTTGGTGTCGACCTTCAGAAAGAAAAACACTTATAAGTGAAAATGCAAGAATAGTTGACAGTATATAACAAGTTCTGGTGAAATAATAGAAATAAAGCATGCAACATGCCAACATGTGACTGCACAATTTTCATGCCATATTAACATGCTTATATCAAATACGGTCACAATGTTATATTCTGAAATTTAATGAATGTCTACAGCCAATAGCAAATGAAACAATGTGTTCAAAGAAAGCCCATGCACAAACAGTTAAGCAGCAATACAGAGTTCATATGTACCTCATTCAAGACTACAGAATACTGATCACCAAAAATAATGTAGCAGATGTTACAGAGTTCCTACTAATCCAAATAATCCCTCAAAACTAGGCTGAGCATAATTGAAAATTCCAGCAATTCCATTGTGACCTGGCAGAAAACTGGTGTTCCTATATTTTGAATTACCTTTGATGATGAGAAGTATTTGGATCCTTCTTCATCATTAATATGTACTCCACCGGAGGGTGGTGATTTAAATCTCCGACTGCCTAATAAAGGGGACTGCCATGGTGGCAATGACTGCATGTATGATTTTGCTAAATCGACAGGAGAACCCTTGTCAGATTTGAGGTCCTGCATGAGATGCCAAGCCATTTAGGTAAACAACAGAAGCAACCAAGATAAACATTCAGTTATGCAATCACCTAAGAGTTCAAGGCTATAACCGTTAGAAAAGAAAATACATCAGCACTCACAGCATTAAGCACATCAGTGTTTAATGTGCAAGGTCCATGATCTTCAGGCTTTGAGCCTAATCCCTGCCTTTTCTCTTCCAACCATTTCTTTGCTTCCATAACTGCTGCACTACATAGCTCAGGTGATGCTCGGAGAGGAGAGCCAGGAGAAAAGTTACCAGGTCCGGTACTCAAAAATGGACCTGACCCAGGGCCATTTCTATTGCGATTCAAGGAACGCCAAGCTCCAGTAAAATCATGGCCATTCCTGCTTGGGGTTTCTTTTGGTGTCCCATGCTCATAGGCTTCAGGAAATGCTGAATCTGTAACACGTGACTGTAATAGCTTTACCATCTTATCACATTCATCCCTGAAAAATGAACAGCAATAATTCAGAGGGAAAGTAGTCGATACGATAGAGCTTATTCAAGAAATCAAGGCCTAAACTTTGTGTATCTACCAAATATAAACAATCAAAATGTCTCAGAAACAAATAGTATGCATAACAGTTACTTAAGTCAGGATTAGATCCATAGTGCTTCGAACTACACTCTTTTCTTAACCGTGCACTGCTAAAGAGAAATATGTCGCTGCAGTTCATTATAGAAAGCTCTTGCTGACATCAGTTTCAATTGACAAAACATAAACTAGATTCAAATTAAGAAGCTCACGAGACCTACATCAGTTCCGATAGACAAAACAAAAACTAGATTCTTTTACTACTAATATAAGTATATCATTATAGAAGTTTACAAGACAAACAGCAGTTTTTACTGAAGAAACACAAGCTAAATTCTTTACCACTGAATTCTACTCCCTCTGTCATAATATAAGAGCGATTTTTACACTACATTAGTGTGAAAAACGCTTTTATATTACAGGACAGAGGGAGTAATTCATAGTGGCTGTCCAAAAAAGAAGGAAACTAGCTATACATGTTAGCGCGTGTATAAAAGAATAATATACTCCAGTTACCTTGAAAATGTTTCCTTCATAACCATTTCCTCAATGGCAAGCTTTGATTTTCTGTAAGAAACTATTGTTCCATGATTATCATGGGCATCTTCATTTCCATCTGCGCAGATACTTCTAATTAACACATTTGTAACATATCTAAAAAAATCCAACTGAATGTGAAGTTGTGAGCTGCACTAGATGGCAGTGTGAGGACAGATCAAACAGAAGAGATGGTTTGATGCAATTGAGGCCAAAGTTTTACATGTGAAACAAACTAATATCACTCTGTCCCAAAATGTCTCAACTTTGTACTAACTTTAGTACAAAGTTTGTACTAAAGTTAAGACACTTATTTTGGGACGGAGGGTGTGATGGAACAGCATTCTAGTATATGTAAAATGGCCCCAGCTTACAAAGAAGGAATATATATTAATCTTCCACCTGCCAGAGCTAACTCTCCCTTATTCATTTCAAATACCTCCGAAGTAGCTTCCTACTGCAAGTCTGACCAAAGCTCTTGACTGAGGTATGTTCAGAAAAATAATTACTAGCTTCAATTTTCAAATTCCACAACAAACGGTGGGAACTTTAAGGTTTTCGAATTCGTCATCGTTTTATCCCCAATTCCACCTAGCCAGACAAAATCCTTACTCTACCGCAATCTATCGGTCGCTCGGCACTTCTGCTGCACCATTACTGCCAACAGTGGCCGCGGAGCAGCCAGATTCAAAAACTAGTACTCTAATTTGAGAAGTCAAAACCGAAACCCTAGGTCGCGACCCGCGACTGAAGCCCTCGCGCAGCACCAACTTGCCCATTATAGGTTACCCCGTCCACTACTGGCAGGTCTAAGTGAACGACTGAGCGCACTAGGTCCGGAGCTCACTACACGGAGAGGGCGAGAAGCGGAGACAATGGGGAAATGGGGAAGGGGAAGCAACTCACCGGAGTCCTGCTCGGAGCCGTCCTCCTCCTCCTCCTCCTCGTCCCCGGAGGCCTGCTCCTCGGACGAGGAGAAGAGCACGGAGGATATGACCCGCTTGGCCCCGGTCACGATGGTGGAGAGCCACCCGGGGCTCCTTCCCCCCTCCGCCGGCACCAGCCCGCCCTCCTCCGGCGAGAGGCGGCGGCGCTTGCCCCGCCCGGATCCGGATCCGTCGCCGTCGTCCCCCTCGTGCTCCGGCGATCGCCGCCGGCGAGCCCTAAAGAGGGACGCCATGGGAGCGGGCGAGGGGAGAGAGAGCGCGCGCGGGGTAGGGGAGCGTGTGACGCGAGGGGAATCCGAACGGGAAACGTGAGGAGGCGATTTTTGGAAGCGACGTCGGCGAAACTGCTACGGCCACCGCTTTAAACGGGCCGCGCGCGGCCGCGCCGCCCCCATGACGCGCGGGCCCGCCCCGCGCGGCCGGCCCACCCGCAGGGACTGCGAGGGTGAGCCGGTTGCGGCGCGCGGAGGTAAATGGGACAAACTTTATCGGCTACTGGTTGTTGGCCTGCGCAAAGTGAAGCGCGCATTAACTGCTGCTAATCGTAATCCACAGTGGATTTGCTGTCGTACCCCTCGCATGAGGAGGAGGGCCCGCCGCGAAGTCGATTATTTCGGGCCCACTTGGCTGTGACGTGTGTGGTAGTATTGGTTGCTCGAGAGGTTGTGTGTACGGGTGAGTAATGCTAACTGGTAACCTCCGTCCAGATTCCGATGTGTGGGAACAGCGACGGTGCGTAGGTTTGGGTAAATGCATGAGAAGTGGGGCCGGGTACTGCAGCGGATGGATAGGCTTCGGCCTGTGGGTGGTGGAATCTTGGGTTGGGTACTTGGGCGGGTGGACGAATGTTTTTTCTTCGGGGGAGGGGAAAGGTGAAGGGTGGAGTGTGGCGGATGGGAAAATGTTCGTTCGGGCCTGTCCTGCAAGCCGCCGTATGCAGCGAATCACGTCTTGCGATTTTTCGAAAACAACTACGAGCGGCAACGTATTTTTCTTCCTGGGCTAGACTGTTCATTTGGGCCGACTTATCTTGGTCGAGACTCGAGACACATGTAGCTTTTGTCACAATTCTCAAAAAAAAAAGTAGTTTTGTCACAAACTCAAACTGAAGCTTTGAATGAGCAGTTGAGCACCCAAAGATGCATTGGGAAACTGAGGAGTACCATCAGTGATCCGGAAATACTTTGTTATTCAAATGCAAGCAAATTAAAAATAATTCACGAAGAGTAATGCCACACTTACAGACTCGAAGTTACGGGCTGGTGTCGCATCATCTAATTGCAGGTAGTTCTGTTGTCGTCGCTGCTCAACCACGTTCAGTTATCCCCAACCACGTGGTGAGGGCTATCCCCAGTCAATCCCTCACCGGCCCTTAGGCCAACTCCATCGCGCGACCATATCCTATCCGCCCCCGTTCCTTTGGGGTATACCGAACACCACCTTTGAGGCTCGCCATTTATGAGTACGGGTTCACGAGCCACGGTTTCCTCCTTGTCCTCGAGCATCCTCATTGTCTTGGTCATGGTCGACCTTAGCTCAGACCGGTACTTCACGCACCACAGCGCCATCTTGCACATCATCTTCGCCTTTTCCCTGTCCAATTTTTTGAAAACAACTACGAGCGACAAGGTATTTTTCTTGCTAGGATAGACTGTGTATCGCTCGTCTGGGCCCGAAAGTGCTCTCGTGACCTCACGTGTAAGAGCATCTATCTCCAGCCGCATCCTCAACAGGCCCCCCAGGGCGACTTTTTACGTGCCGGCGCCGAAAAAAACTAGACGCGCCTTCAAGACGTCGAAATCCACTGGCTCGGTCCGTTTTTTGGGACCGCGATCCCAGGCCGAACCCAACGCACTGGGGGGCACTCGGGGGCTCCGTGAAAGGGGAAACACGTCTGGCCCACACCATTAGACAAAAAGTCAAGGCAATCGTCCAGATTCGTCGAACACCCCCGCGCGCTCAGCCACCACCCTGCCGATCGCGGCGCTGCTGGAGGAGGAAGCCGATGCCGACATCTAGGATGAGGAGCATCTCATGGTTCTCGCCGCCCTCTGGCCTGATAGCACTAACCATCACATGGGCATAGTATGGGCGTTCTGCGTCGTATGCATCAGCCGAAGCTTATTAGACGTCAGCGACTGAGCGGCGCGCGCCGGGTTGGACTGGTAAGCACCGGCCTTTTTTAAGGAGGTAGCTAGGTCTGCTCACCGGCCACCCACGCAACGTGTAGGAGTTCCCGGGGCGATGGCCCATGACCCCTGGGGGCATAGGTTTAGTCCGGCGTGCTGACCTCTCTATTAAGCCTAGGTCGGGTTGCGGCGTGTTGTTTGGCCGAGGTCGGGCATGACCGAGGAAAGTGTGTCCAGCCAGAGTTAATCGAGCGTGGTGGGTAAGTTGGTGCACCCCTGCAGGGAAGAAAACATCTATCGATAGCCTGTCCTACGGTAATGGACACTTGAAGTTGTATCCCGATCGATACAACTAGAACTGGATACTTGTGATGAGAAATGGATAGTATGGCTCTAGGATTGCTTTCTCGCAGGGAGTCGAGAAAGCATCTATGGCCGAGGTTGATAACACTTCTACTACTTTACTTTATGCTACTCTACTCCCTCCTGTTGCTGCAAGATGGTGGTTTCCAGAAGATGCTAGTCTTTGATAGGCTAGGCTTTCCTCTTCTCTTCTGGCATTCTGCAGTCCAGTCCACAGATACAGCCCATTTCATTGATACCGATGCATATGTAGTGTAGATCCTTGCTTGCGAGTACTTTGGATGAGTACTCATGGTTGCTTTGCTCCCCCTTTTCCCCCTTTCTTCTTCTTTCCGGTTGATGCATCCATATGTCGGAGCCCAGGAGCCAGATGCCACCGCCGATGCTTACTACTACGTGGAGGCCGCCAACGACCAGGAGTAGTTAGGAGGCTCCCAGACAGGAGGCCTTGCCTTTTCGATCGATGTTGCTTTTATGCTAGCCTTCTTAAGGCAAACTTGTCTAACTTATGTCTGTACTCAGATATTTTTGTTTCCACTAACTCTTGTGAATTCGAGCTTATGTATTCGAGCCCTCGAGGCCCCTGGCTTGTAATATAAAGCTTGTATTATTTTAATTTGTGTCTAGAGTTGTGTTGTGATATCTTCCCGTGAGTCCTTGATCTCGATCGTACACATTTGCATGTATCATTAGTGTACGATTGAATCGAGAGCGTCACATCTGCTTTGTCAACAATCGTCCAAAAACGGGGAGATTGTTGGTGCAATATCTGCCTACCTATGTTTTGGAGATTGTTGACAGAAACAGGTATGGACTGATTTGTTTGCTAGTGCATACAGAGAGAAATAGTCCATACAGAACCGAAGAGAATGCTATCTCCGATGTCAAGTTTGAGGAACTTCACCGAAGTATATCTGCGTTGCAGAGAAGAATGAGCTGTATTTGCTGAAGTCACATAGACGAGAAGATTAATGTGAAGGAATTAACCCCACGGAAGTTTACTACTAAAGCGAAGCATATGTTTCGGTATCGTCGTCGGAAAGAATTGACTGCAGTGAATGGAAGTTGAAGACAAAGTGAAGACGTAGTATTCATTTTGTTGTTCTTCTCTCATTTATTTGAGTCATATGACCTCCGTAGTATTAAGAGGGGTATAGGTTCTCAATGCTTAGATCCGCTGTGATGCTTAGCCAAGTCCTATGAAAGTTGTGAGAGAAATATCTTTGTGTTCCGAGCAAATACTTGCCAGCAAGAAACAATGATCTTCTTCGCTGCAAGAGATTTGGCTCAGACCGAGGAGTTAGCATTACTTGTCCCTCGAGTAATGTTACCGTTGCTCCCAAATCTGACCGCTGTAAACGTGTCGGTTGGCCATTGGCTGGACCGAGTGTCCAGAATGGTCATTTCCCATCAGGGAAGGCTGTGGCTATAAATAGCCACCTAGCTCCAACGATATTCATTGGCTGCCCTGCTTGAGATTTCTGAGAAGATTGATTTGAGCAACCCTCTCTGAGTGATTTGAGTTTAAGATCCACCGAGAGAAAAATCAAGAGGCCCAAACTTAGACAGTGGTTTAGCATCACAGTAGTTATGAGTTAGAGTTCTTGTACCTATTACTCTTGAGAGATGTGCACTCTCTAGATGGATAGGTTTCGGCTCGTTGAAGTGTTGTTGACTTCACCAAGGTAGATCTTCAGCAACCAAGAGTGATTTTGGTTCGCGAAGGTCAACTGAAGGTTTGGAGATCACCGACAAGTATCTACCACGAGTGAAATCAACCTGAGTCTGATCAGCTCTACATTGAAGGAGAATAGGGTGAAGAGAGTTTATCTTCCGTGTTAAGTCATAGCCTGTCTAACCAGACGTAGCCCTTTGGCAGAAGGGTGAACTGGTCTACCAAATCTCATTGTCACCACTGAACACCATTGGTTCTATTTACTTCACTATAATAATTTCAGCAGTTTTCATTCGTGCTCTGTGATGACAGTTTATTTGATCATTCATACTGTGTTGCATATTGTTCGCTTTCATTTCATCTGTCATCTCCATTAGGTATTATTTGATGTCCTCAGTGTTACACCATATTCATCCTGTTGTGCTATTCAAGTTCTAATCATCATCTGTGTTGTGATCGCTTACATCTTCGTAGTTGTTTATCTCAGTTATTCATCGCAGATCAGTTCTAGTTCCCTGTCATGATAGTTTACCTGTTGGCATATTGCATTACCATCATTGTCATCAAGCCTATCGTATATTGTGCTCGAACCATTATTGCATCTTACCTAGAAGATTTTGTTCCTCAATAGTATGCTTGATTGAGCTCTTATCTACCGTATCTTATCTCAGCTGCTGTGTTTGGGATCAATTAAAACTTTTGAAAGAAATTTTGAATCTCCCATTCACCCCCTTTGGTCGATATACTCTCGGTCCTAACATGAACCATGATGCTGATGATTCACTTAATCCCGTATGCAATTCCCTTAGTGATATGTTAATTTCCCGAGATTCAGTGGTCGGTATCACCATACCCAGTTTAATCTCGTTACCGGCAAGTCTCTTTACTCATTCTGTAATACAAGATCTTGTGACTAAACTCATTTGTCACATGAAGCTTCTTATGATGTTGTATTACCAAGAGGGCCCAAAGACATCTCTCTGTCACACGGAGTGGCAAATCTCAGTCCTGATCCATGCAACTCAACAGAAACCTTTGAAGATACCTGTAGATCACCTTTGATGAT